TATATATATATATATATATTATATATTATATTTATTATATAAAGAAATTGTACACATTATCGATAGTATTTATACAAGTCATTATATAAATTAATATATTGAATAAATATTACAATGTGTATATATAACATATTATTCTTTTAAATATTTTAATAATTGTTTTATAATTTAAACAATTTAAATAAAATGTAATTATTTAAATAAAATATATATAAAATGAATATTTTGAAATCAAATTGATCACGTCCAGTGCAGACATTGTGTAAGAATTTTAGAAAGCTAGAACTCTTTAACAAACCTTCCCCAGATATCCTCAGAATCCTAAAATTGTGTTCTCTACAATATGACTGTTCATTTTTCATATTATGATATTCATATATGATAATAATGTCATTTTCAAGCAATAGGAAGTAATGGGAATAAATAGTAATTTTCGAGGGAAGGCAGATGTGTGAAATGTAAACCACACCAGACCCTTGACTTTTCATGCAGAGAATCCGAGAGTCGTGGCATGGCATACGCATTGAAAATGTACTCATAACAATGAATATGTTGGACAGCTTTGATTTGGATTTGGACTGAATAAAAAAATGTATGCTGCATTTTTCATGTCAGAAACAACCGCAGCACATTACGAGAGTCACTAACATGATCTGTGGCTTCATAATTCATCCTAACCATTTTTCCCAGCATGCAAAGTGCTTTTCTTTCCATGACTCTGCTTGACTTGGGCTAATGAATGAAGATGAGTTATGAATGTGTTGACGTAGTGAGCTGTAGCCCATGGGTAGGAGCAGATGTGCTGCGTGTTGAAGGGTCAGGGGCTGGGCTCGCTGGGCTTCAGGTCCATCTGTTCCTGAGCCGCTGGAGCTGCCTGGATAATCATCTGGGCACGAGGCCAGACCAGGTCCCATCATGTCTTGACAACGAGTATGTTAGGTAGCATTTGCTACATGTCAAGGGTCACTGAAAAGACAGCATCGACATTAAGATGATGATGGAGAGGAAGCAGGAAAATACTGTATATTAATATGGTATTCTACGCCTTTATAGGAGTGAGTGTTATATTGAATATTCACAAATTACACTGGGTATAGCAAAGAATCACCACATCTTGTTGCTTCGCAGCCTGAAATGAAGACGGACACAGTTTTTGTTTTATCCAGCTTTATTTACTCAGTGCAACTTTTAACATCCAAGTGAAAGATATAACATCAACATGTCAGGAAAAAAACCCTGAAAAAGGATTGGAAAAAGAGTTGGAAAAAGGATCACCCCCTTGTGTCAGTATTTGTTGAACCACCTTTTGCTTTAATTGCAGTCTTTAGTCTGTTGGGATATGTTTCTACTAACTTTGCACATCTAGACTTTGCAATATTTGCCCACTCTTCTTTGCAGAACTGCTCAAGTTCAGTGAAATTTGATGGTGAGCGTTTGTTAACTACAGTCTTCAAGTCATTCCTCAGATTTTCGGTGGGGTTTAGGTCTGGGCTCTGACGAGGCCATGCAAGGACATTCAGATTTTTCTCCTTCAACCACTGTCTGCTCAGTTTTGCTGTGTACTTTGAATATCATTTGCTGTTGAGACCAAATAATAAAATTTTTGTCTCATCTGCCTCAGAATCCTAGAGGTGTGTTTTGGCAACGCTCAGCCGTGACTGCATGTGGTCTTTCTTGAGGAGAGGCTCTTTTCTTGCAACCCTCCCATACAAGCCACATTTGTGGAGAATTTGTGATATTGTTGTCACAAGCACACAATGACCACTCTTTGTCATAAATTCCTGCAGCTGCTTCAGAGTTGCTGTAGGCCTCATGGTCACCTCTCTGACCAGTTTCCTCCGGCTCTTTCATCCAGTTTGGAGCGTCGTCCTGATCCAGGGAGGGTCTGTGTTGTACCAAATACCTTCACTTCTTAATAATAGACTTCACTGTGCTTTTAGGCATTGATAAATTTAAATACATACTAATTGATAAAATTTTTTTTGTATATGTATAAGATTTTTAAAACTGTAATTATTAACCTTAATTACAATTGAAATGTAGCATTTTTTTCATATTTTTTAGTCCATTTGATTCAATGAATTTATTCTTGTAGGCATTTATTAATGTTTATAATTTAAGTAAAATATAACATTTAACTTATATAAAATGATTTATCAGTGTATATAAACTGAAATGACAAAAATATAGTGTGTGTGTGTGTGTGTGTACAGATTGCAGGCCGCTCGGGGCA